TAATAATTAATTGATGAAATTTAATATTTATTTTTAATTAATAATTATTTTAATAAATCTTTTTATTTAATATATGATATATTTATATTTTTAAAATAAAGGTAAAGTACAAAAAAATGTATTATATGGCATCTAAAAATAAACAAGTAAATTTAAATACCCAAATTAAAAATTAAATATATTAAAATTTAATTAATATTTCATCTGTTACAAAATATTTGTCTTTTTTTATAAAAATATATATTTATAGCGATAAATTCAAAACAATATGTAAAAAATTCTAGTATTCGGTATGTACCGTTTCAGTAGCAAAATCAATACATATGCCGGTACGGTATTGACAACTTTGCTTATAAATCATTTAATGTTTTCCCATAACTATTCCAAAGTACAAACCATACTATAGTCCTCACTTTAACTTTTTGTTATATTTACCTCCCTCCCCTAACATCACCCTAACACCGTTTATAACTTCCATTTAATAGAGACTTTTTACCATTAAGTGTAGTAGTTTATTCGTTTTAATTGTATTTGAGATTTCTACAAAAATCCTACATGTTATTTTCATAAGAATTTGGCTTATGTACTTGATTAATTAAGAAAGTAGCTACCATAAAAAAATTAAAAAAAGTAGCCCATTATGTACTTTTTCTTGATCAATCAACTAAAGCTAAGGTTGTTGGAAAAAAAAAATTAAAGCTAGGGTTATTGAAACGACCCAAGTTGAAGCCTGGTACTAGCCTAATACTTTTACATTAATGTATATAAGCTCTCAAAAACTCAAGTTCAAGTTGTTAGTAATGATTGGTTTTTACACTAATATGTTAGACTTACTCATAAGTCTCCACTGATCTGACATTAGGAGCGTTACTATCTCCCCATTTAGATGCTTGATGTCCTCATCAAGCCCAAATACAATGAAAACTAGGCCTATTGGGCCACAAACATAGGATCCACCTCAAGTGATGTGGGGCGGCTATCACCAACTTTAATGGTTAGCATAGGCCTATACTTGCAAAAGGTGATTGCTCTCGTATCAACTGAAATGAGCCTGACTGAAGCTTGCCATTGGCTTAACAATTCCTCAAGCCAAGGTCTATGAGTCCTCAAAATTTTAAACTCAAGTTGTTAGAAGTGGTTAGTTCACTTCTTGTTACACCGATGTGAGATTTGTGCTTTATAGTTATATGGATTATTATTGTGTGCTAAAGTGTGTTTTTTTTTCTTTGTTCTTTTGGCTATTGCATCTTAAAGTGGTAGGCACTGTTTGTCAATAATGTGTTGTGTTGTATTAGATTATAGTTATAAGTTTTGTCTTTTATTCTTCTAAAAATATATAAAATATTAATTAAAATAGAAAAGTGGGTGTCAACCTGTATTGCAAAAAATTAGGTGGAAACATATTTTAAAATTTTGTTGTTTTAATAAAAACTCATTGAAAAAGATTAAAATATCTTAATTTTTAAAGTAGGAATGAAGTTGTTTTAGTATTTTATCATAGTATTTTATTAAAATGACATAGTTTTGGATTTTTTTGCCTAATTTTTTATAATACAAGTTGATATCCATTAATCTCTAATTAAAATTAATCAACAATGTTATAGTTATAATGTCATATAAAATTATAAACTTATAATTATGATCTGACATTAAATAAGTGTGTCATGTTATTAAAATGAGTGGGATGTATATAATATCATAGATCAACCTTACATAAAAGTAGTCAATTATGTAATAACATATTATGTTATAAACTTACAATGTTGTGTGATGTTATAACTATATGATTTTCTAAAATTAATAAAATTATATAAAAATAACTAAAATTGATTAATAACATTAGCATTATATTTTTAAACAAAGTATTGTGTGAAAAAGATCTATAAAAAGTACAATTAAATAAAACCTTAATATTATACAAAATTATTACATTTTCAATCATATTTAGGCTTGGTTTGATGGTATTGCTCTCTATCCATAGATTTTTTTTTTTTGTTTTATACTATCTCAAAAATATTTAAAATATTAATTAAATTTAGTAGAAATATATTAAAAAATTAATTAAAATTAATATATTTACGCTTTAGACAAAGTATTATGTGAAAAAAATATGTAGGAAGTATGGTCAAATAAACCCTTAATTTAGCTATTAATAATAACTAATAGATCGTAGTTTATATATAATGATTAACAATTATTATTATTATTATTATTATTTATAATTTAAATGTCCTTATTCATCTAATTAAAGAAAGTAGGTATTAATTATTTCTTAATAAATAGCCATCAAAAAAATATTTTTTAATAACTCAACCAAATATGGCCTAAATTTTTGAAAATGCTATTCATATTAACTTTCAATAATTTTAATGGATTAAAAATGTCAAAAAGAATTCAACAACCTAGGTCTTTGATTAGTAATTTCCTTTTAATAAAAATAAGAGATTTTGAGTTTAATTTAAATGACTTATGAGTAGGGTGCACTAAGGGATCGAAGAGAATTGTGTCCTAACCTAAGATCCAAAAAGAAAAAATAAAACAAGTTAACACTATAAAATGTGACAATAAGATCACCCTAATGATAGTTAAGAAGGGAAATAAAAATAAAATAAAAAAACTAAGGCTTAGTTTGTTTACATCATTATATGCATTGGAAATAAAACAATACTGAAATTAATTACTAGTTAGTATATACTTGTTAAATTAATAGATTTTGAGTTCTTTACCCTTATTTTTTGAGACCCATAAACACAATTTAGTAAAAACATAATAAATTATTTTAGTTAAGAGTCGAAAATGCCTCCGTTAGTTTAGACTCATAAACGGTGTTAGGGTCGTGGTAGGGGAGGGAGCTAAATATAATGGAAAGTTAAAGTAGAGAGAGGACTATGGTATGGTTTGGAAGAGCAAAAGGACTTTGAATGATTTGTAAGTATGGGGAGGAAAATGAATGAATATTGAAAGTAAATGGACTATAATTGCTTTTAACCCTTAAAAAATGGTCAATCTATATATATATATA